AACAAGATCTTATCTTATCCTTTTGTTATGAAACAACTTTTCATAGTCAATTCAAATTTGAATTCAAATATTTAAATTCGAATATTCAAACATTCAAATTCAAACTTTTAAACATTCAAATTAAAAATTTAAATTCAAATTTCAAATTTCAAAATTCAAAATTCAAAATTCAAATTCAAAATTCAAAATTCAATTTTCAAATTTCAAAATTCAAAATTTAAATGTTTGATAATAATTTAACCAATTAAATTAATTAGTAGTATCTTGGACTATCCAAGCCCATTACTGTGATCCAAGCGCCCTCCACCCTCAAGGTGGACTTCCAAACTACTTCTTGGACTAATGACCATTATTAGGCCCAATACCTTTAATGCTAGTTTATCTAGACAATTAGGTGTTAGCGTGTGACCCATTAGGTCCAACATAGCCACTGACATAAATGGGTTTGGGCCCAATAAGCCCACAACCCATCTAATGACAACACAGAGCACTAGCAATGCTTTGTTGCCCTAGAACTAGTTAGATTAATGACTTGATCATTCTATTGCACATATTTGGTTGTCGTATGTATTTTCTTTCGTCTCGGTTACCTTCCCATTAACCTAGGGTAAGGAAATGTATCAACCCTTGCGGTTTAGGGTAAGCTTTATTTGAAATAGGGAATCTTCAATTTACTGACTCTAAAGGCAGATCATCTTATGATCTCTTTTACTATGCATAGATTCCTGAGTCCCTGTAAATGTCATCCCGATTTCTCCGGTTTACAGATAACCTAATCTCTCACAGAGATTTGACGAATTCCTTCAGTTTATCACCCTAGCCCTGTGCTCTTTCAGGACAAGCCCAACAGTATACCTATGAGTCTCCATGTTTCAGGCAGACGAGGTATACAGTCAAAGCATGCCTTCTAGAACACAGTCTAGGTAATAACTTCTGGTCTAAGGAAAGATATACCCAAATATAAAGAGACTACTCTAATGATACTCTCTGTGAGATTTCCTCATAGAGTCTCTTTTGTGGGTCTGTTCAGTGCGAGCTATACCCTTATAGGTCCACCCACGACTTTAGCTAAGACATCTCCATATCTGTAGCACATGAGGTCTTTACCTTGTATCCGTATACAAGTAGATAAGTCGTGCTAGTCTTACCCGAGATCACTGATCCCCATTCTCAGTGTCTCTAGACTAGGAACATAAAATTAGGAATAAACATCCAGTATCCTTGAATCCTCATGATCGTGATCTCATCACAGATACTCAAGAGATACCTATTTTATTCCAAGTGGTTTATCTAGTTACTCATATATAATATTAACAGTAATATCGAGACAAAATATGAAACAGGATAAAGAATGCTTTTATTTATTTGCGACAATACAAAGTTCACTTATGTCCTAATCTAATCAAAAGATTGTCTCTGGGACATCCATATACTAACAGGAGGTACCTTGCCTACGCCCGAATTCTTATTTGCTAAGTTTCAACGAGGGCTAAGTGAGAAGATAGCCAAAAGGATGTCAAATACGACAGTTAAAAATTTTGCTAATCTTGTGACCCAATGTAAGAGGGTCGAATTGTTTATGGAAGATATCCCAAGTCTAATTCTGCTAAAGATCAAGAGATGAAGAAGAACCATAATCCTTCTGGTTTGAATTACAGAGGTGGTCCTAACAATAATAATAATAGAGGTAGGGGGTTGCAAGTAAGGCAGCATCTTGGTCAATTTAAGAGAGGTGGTGGAACTATTGATAGATACTATACCCCACAATGTGGGAAGTGTAAGAAATACCACAAAGGTGTATGTGGTGCGGCCCCAGGGGCGTGTTTCAATTGTGGTTAGACTGGCCATTTTGCTAGGAGTTGTCAATCTGCTGCGGGGAAGGCTGTGAATCTACAGGCCTGGTCATCTTATACTCCTACTGCGGGACAAGCTGCAAATCTGCAGGCTTTATCGACTACTACTACTGCTGCTGCTGCTACCATTCCTACAGTTGGACGAGTGTATACTAGAAATGTGCAGCATACAGAGAAGGCACTGAATCTAGTCAAAGGTATAATTTTCATCTCAAATATTGATTTATCTGTGTTGTTTGATTCGGGAGCGACACATTCGTTCGTGGCGGAATATATGGCTAAGGCGTTGAACTTAAGAGTAACACGAATGATCCCCCCTATACGTATTACTACTGCTACGGGAGAGGTTAGTGATTCCTCCTTCATGTGTAAAGAAGTTGGGTTTGTCTATAAAGGCAGGGGTTACACCATCGATTTAATTATCTTGCCCCTGGCCTCGGTCAATTTGATTTTGGATATGGACTGGTTGTCTCAGAACTGTGCAATGATTGATTTCTGTTGAAAGAGGTTGATATTATCTGATGAGAAGCCCTCTGTTTGTCCGTCTCCTTATCTATCGGTCTGTCAAACCATTAAAGCCTTGAAGGCTGGTGAACTGGGTTATGTACTCTTGGGTGGACTTGTTGGTGATAAGGAGTTTGAAATTTCAAGTATTCCGGTGGTTAATGAATTCGCTGATGTACTTCCGGATGAGATCCCGGAGTTTCCATTAGAAAGAGAGATTGAGTTCTCTATTGATTTGTTGCCTGGCATGGGGCCTATCTCTTTGGCTCTATACAGGATGTCACCACTAGAGTTGGCTGAGTTGAGGAAGCACATTGAAGATCTATCTGCAAAGAATTTTATCAGACCGAGTGTGTCTCCATGGGGAGCACCGGTGATATTTATGAAAAAGAAGGATAGTAGTATGAGATTGTGCACGAATTAAAAATCTTTTTAAGGAAGTATCTAGCAAAGCTTATGACTCTCACTTGTGGAAGAGCTTATGTAAAATCTGGCCTGATATGCTAAGCAGCATCTCTTGGCAGATTGGAGATGCGAAGAAAATTGAATTCTGGAAGGACAATTGGATAGGCCACAATTCTGATCTAATTTCTCTTGCAATTGTTCCCCCCACAGATGAGGCTACTGCTCTAAAGATAAATTACAGCTCCTTCCTAGATGGAGAAGGATGGAACATACAGTTCCTCCTTAATCATTTTGATGGGTGCATAGTGAACCAGATTTTGGCCATTCCTTCTCCGGATGGGGAAGCAGGTGAGGATTTGCTGAGTTGGAAAAACAGGTCACTAGGTCATTCCATTGTTAAATCTGCCTACAGGAATCTGTCCTGTCCTATAAAAAGCTTAAGTAATAGCAGTTGGGATCAGATATGGAGTTGGAAAGGAAAAGAAAGGGTCAAGTTGCTAATGTGGAAGATACTCCATGAAAGGATGCTCACCAAAGAATATACAAGCAGATGGGGTGATTTACCTAATAGCTATTTTTCGTGTCCTAATGAAGTAGAGACCTGTCTTCATGCTTTTAGGGACTGTCCTAAAGCAAAGAATGTTTGGTTAAATCCTCTCCTCCAACCACTGCCGATAGGCTTCCTGAGTTCAAGCTCTTTTAAAGAATGGATTGTTATTAATTTGAACCAGAAGCTTAAATTTGGTAAAGACTGGAGAGATTATTTCCTCACAGCCTGCAATTACTTGTGGATTTGGAGAAACAAAGAGCTGCATGATGTGACTGTAAATCGTCCAACTGATCCTTCTAGTGTGCTTTCTGTTTTATTTGACGAAATTAGTTGTTGTAAAAGCAAACGAATTCTGCAACCTGTTCCAAAAGACCTTCCTGTTCTTCCTAGTCAGGTTTGGTCAGTTCCAGCTCCAGGTTTTCTTAAGTTGAATGTCGACGGTGCAACAACAAATGATAGAGCGGCTTGTGGTGGCCTCTTAAGAGACTGGAATGGAGATTGGTTAAGTGGTTTTTCTGCATTTATCGGTTCATGTTCCTCTTTGCAAGCTGAACTCTGGGCCTTATTCCATGGTTTGGAATTTGCTTGGAGCTATGGTTGGAAGAGTATCATTGTAGAATCATATTCTGTTCAAGCTTTAAGCTTTCTTAGCAAATCTGGTAATGAAACTCAAAAGCCTCCCTTGGTGGCTAAGATTCGAGCTGTTCTTAATAGAGATTGGTTAGTCTCTTTGAAGCATGTTCCTAGGTCCTGCAATTGTTGTGCAGATTGGATTGCAAAGAAAGCTTTGGAGGATTCTTTTGGTCGATCCACAATTCCATCCCCTCGTGGAGAGCTCCTCAATCTTCTTGCTGCGAATTTGCTTGATCCTGGACTGGTCTATTCGGTTTCAAGATGCTGCTGAATTCTGTTTAATCTTCACTTTATTTCCTGTTCTGTTTTGGTTTATTTCTTTAGTTGGTCTAGTTTCTGGTTTTCTGTCTTTTGTTTTCTTTGTGGGGCTATGTCCCATATATAAAAAAAAGTGTGGGTCTCACCTCTTTGTGAGAGTGAAATAATATAAGTTATATCATTTAAAAGGATAAATATTTTGTCCTAAATTATATGCATATATGTTATAATTTAAAAAAATTATATTTAAAAAATTTCAAAACACTCGTGATATATTTAATAATTAAAATTAAATATTTTAAATGAGTTTTTAAAAATTCATGGGACATCTATTATAAAAAATTAAGGGTAAAGTGTGTGTCATTTTAAATGACGTAAATTTGTATCATTTTAAGTGAGAGAAAAAGATAAATAGAAGAGAAGAGAGTGGACAAAAAAATAAAAATCTGAGTCTTATTTCTTTGTGAGAGTAAAATAATATAAATTATGAGAGAAACAATTTTTCCAAAAATTAAATTACGCACTCTAGAATAGATTGCAGAAACGACCTCACCGTAAGACATCCAACTCCGAGCCAAGCCACGTAACGCAGGCGATAGAGCGAGTCAATGACAAAATCGTAAATAACATGAAAAGACAGTGGCTAAAGGGTAAGCGCGAAATTCACTCCCATATAAATTGCTAGCGTGGCTATTACAATCTAATCATTTCCCGCGGCATCAAACGCGGCATTGCGCACTTTTTCTTTCAACGAAACTCTTTTTATATTATTCATTATTATTTAAAATAGAAATAAATTGTTTTCTCTTTCTTCTTTCTCGATAAAATTGATTTCACAGTAGAAAGAAAGAAGAAAATTCGAAACCCGTGAACTCTTTTCTTTTTATCTACTACAAGTTCAACATGCTCTCTCTCTCTCTCACACACACAAACAGTTACACTCTCTTTCTTCTTCTCTTGAGCTGAACCAGTGAAGAATGAGTGAGGCAATGAAGCTTCAGATCTCGTGCTGATTCGATCCGAAGGCGTTGGATTGATTCATGGAATCGAGGAGATGAAGTTCTACATATCTGCGAAGGGAATCAAGAGAGTCACAATATCGAACGGCGCCGGCGCCGGAGAAGGATCGGCCAAGACGACGACGTCGACGGCTGCGTCACCCGCTGCTGCCTCCTCCGGTCGCCGGTTTACCAGTAGGACGATGCTTCCGGTAGTGCTGGTGCTAGGAATCGTGTTGCCGTTTCTCTTTGTGAGGATCGCGATCTTGATACTTGAATCAGCTGCGGCCTGCTCCTCACTCGGTAATTCTCCTGTTACTTTTTTTACAGTTCGGTAAATTAGATTTTTCTTTTTTTAATATTTTCGGTTAAAATTGGAAAGAACGGAAGATTGAAAACAAAGTTCTTTTAAAAGCAAGAGTATATTTATTAAGTTAAGCTAATTTTTTTCATAATTAAATTATTTTGTTTTAAGGAAAATGTGTTTTGTAAAAGATAAAATTATTTATTGTAATTTTAAAAAGACATCCTTTTGAGGTTTAAAAAAAATTAAAAAATTTTTAAAATTTTTATTCTGCTTTATATCATGAATTTATTAAAATATTTAGAATTTTTTTTTCTTAAATCTCATAACAACATCTTTGATATTACAGGAAATAACTTATTCCGGAGAAATGTTAATTTTTGTAATATTTTTTTTGGGTTGCAATTTTCATTTAACTGAAGATAAAAGTTATCCGTGGTAAGTTCCTTGAATTCCAATGGATGAATATTGATATATGAAGTTAAGTTTCCATGGTTATGACTGAATTTTGTATGCGTAGAATCATGATCATTTGATGTGGTTTGATGTTGATTAATGTTTAGTTATTGGCTTGAAGTGAAATTATGAAAGTAAAGCATAATTTCTGAAAATGCAAATTACTAAATGAAAACCTCTAAAAGCACTAAAAAATATAATTTTTAAAATAATTCTTTATCTTCAGTTAAATGAATTGCACTAAAAAAAATTAACATTTCTCCGGAATAAGTTATTGACTTTAACGTTTCTACGTTAAATATAAACAAGTTATCTATATTCAAATGCAGTTTTGGATTAAAAAACTAAAAAATTATAATGAAAAAGACTATTATAACCCTGAAATAAATTATAGCTATAAAAATACATTGATTTCTGTCTCAAAACGATGTCATTTTAAATCCAACATAGATAAATTATTTATATTAATCGCCCTAGGTTATTTCCTGTAAAAAGGTTTTATATGTCTCGTGAATATGAAAGGTAATTTTTTTTTGGGTTTTATAAGTATAATATTACATGAATAACATTTTTTTCATACACCCACAATTAAGAGGTAGGTTCACGTATTTTTTTTTCTCTTTTATTATTTTACTTTCTCTTTTTTTTATTTATTGTAAATGTAAGAAAATTTTCTTACATCATACGACATTATATTCGTTAAATCCATTTTCTTTGTTGAAAAGCTGGTGAGAGTTTATCGGTGAAAATGATTGCTGCAGATTGTGCTGGATGGAGGTTTTTCAGTGGGGCTGACACGTCACTGGTAAGTGTCTCATTTACCAAATTATCCTCCTCCTTGCTTCCTTTCTATTTAATATTTTTCTAAATTATTCTGTTATTTTTTTATGAAAAATAGAATTTTTTTTTTATGTTATACTCACAATTAAAAGATAGATCTCATCTTAATTTTTTATTTTTTCACTTTTTTATTAATCTTACTCAGATATTATATGTGTAACATGAGAAAATATTTTTATGTAAAATGAAAAAATTAATTTTTTTTTCCCACACAATTACTTGGCTAGCTTGCCCATCTAAATAGCTCAACTTAATAATTAGAATTTTTTTATTAAAATGAGGATTTTAGCTCGCCCCCTCTAATTAACTTAAGTTAATAATTAAAATAATTTTTTTTATCAAAATAGGGATTTTCAATATAGTTTTTAAAGAATAAACTTTCTGTCGATACGAAAAAGTCGTTTGCCTTTTTTCAAATATAGTGGCTACAACGGGATCCAATTTGAAAAAAGTAGCTGATTCTTTATTAAAAACTGCAACTAGTAAAGAACGACAACAATTATTTACAAAAAAGAAAAAAAAGTAGAGAGACGGCAAATTACTTACCCAAAAAAAAGGACAACAAATTTAGAAACACCGGAGATTAGAGGAAAAGATACTGTATTATTTGGATTTATTTGAATATTTGTTAATCATAAAGTATCATTCTTCGTTGGCCAAGTTTTATTTGTCAGGCTAGAGTTTTGAGACAAACCCAATATTATAAAGGGTTTGTTTTTTTCTGATGTTACTTTAGATAACTTTATCTAATGTTTCATCAAAACGACATTGTTTTGGGACAGAAATTATGCTATTTTTGTAATTTTAATTTATTTCAAGGTTATAATAGTCTTTATCACTCTAATTTTTTAATTTTTCAATCCAAAACGACGTCGTTTCGATAGACATTAGATAAAGTTATCTAAAGTAACATCGGAAATTTTTTTCCCTATTATAAATTCTAAAAATTATGCTATTCGATTTAGGTTGCATCAGCTATAGTTTTCTTCATTCTCTATTTTATTACTTCTTAATTAATGATATACCATTTTAAAAAGCTATTATTCAGTACTGTTCATATGTGTATTATATATTTTTATTTTTAGTATAACATGTTCTTTTTCAGTATCGTTCTTTGAATGATCTTTTTCAAATAGAATATGATTATTGTGTTCTAAAGTATGGTTAAATTAACATTATGTTCAAGTATAAATTTATGTTCAAATAGAAATCTTTTAATTTTTTTATTCAAAAAAATAACTAAAAACCTACCCTTTTAATTTGTAATCAATCTTGATTGGATTCCTGTCCTTTTTTTCTTTTTCTTTTCTTTTGGTTTCCGGACTCTTGTCCCATCTTTCCTAATCCTGCAAGAATAATCTTTGTTTTGATCTAAATCGCTTTGAGTTCTATAATTTATTTATGTTCTCTATTTTAACAAAGTGCGTCACATTCTATCAATTCTATTCCATATCACTGATGAAATTCATGGTATACTTTTTCTATTTCCTATAACATTGCAATCAAATCTCACTACATCTTTCTTTGCAATCAAATTTTTCTATTTGTAATCAAATTCATGGGTTATTAAATTTGTTAATCATCTCTGATGTCTTACTCTTTCCTTGCAATCGAGAGTTCCAAATTTCTAAAGAGATAAAAGCGAATTGTCAGAAGGCATAAATAATTTATCCAGGAATTAATAATCTCAAAAATTGTGTTTAAGCAATGCTAGTATAGAAATATTGGAGATTTTTTTATCTTATTTTTTTTTTAAGCACATTATCTTTCAAGTTATTTGGTGAATTATTATTTCACCCGTGATCTTGATTCTTGACTTACCGTGTAATATTGTAGTTGTTTCTTTTTAGTTTTTACTACATCTTTTATCGGGAACAGTTCCCTTCTCGTGTTGGTTAACATTCACGCAATTCAAAGTGTTGTGAAGGTATGCATTATCGACCTAGAGAAAGTAAACTCGGTTTGATGATAGAAAATAAATTGCTACAGTCAAAATAAACTAGGTTGATATGTCAATATGAGATTTATTAATGATCTTAAAACAGGGGACACTCTTAAAAATTATAGAGTAACTAGGAGTAATGAGTCAGGTAAGTCACACTTTAGTTTAAATAAGTTAGCATATGTTATTTCAAACCTAGCTTAACTTGTAAGTCTGATATTAAATTATAAATTTGACTTGGTTTGTTTATAAAAATTACAAGATTTGGTCTGACTTATCAAGCCTTCAAAAATAATATATAGCACTCGGTAAATTATATGTTATAATTACTTTGTAAAATAGTTAAACACAATCCAAAATATTGATAATTTAAGCACGTTGTTGAAAATAAAAAAAAATCAACCGAATTGAATTGTAATAATTTTTAATTTAATTTAAAATAAATTAAAATTTTATACACGTATGCACATATGCTCATACACATATGTATGTGTATAAAAATGAATACAAAAATATTTATTTAAGACTAAACAGTCATGATATTTAAACATAAAAGAAATAACCACAAAAAACAAGTGAAAGTGAATCAAATTAGACTAATAAAACATAAATATATTTGGAAGTCAATTTTTAAAATGACAAGTACATTACAATTTAAAATCTACGCAGACAAATCATACACAGAGAAACTCAGTACTAAAAATGGCCACCAACCAACCAACTAATGAGAATTTTCTAATAAAAAATAATTAAATAAATAATAAAAAAATAAAAAAAGACAAACATAAAGATATGCCCAGCAAACAAGAATAATATATGTAAATGCATAAAAGTGATAAAAACACCCACAAGTTAGAAGAGTGGTGATGGCGAAAGAGTTTAGAGTTAAAAAAAAATGTATTGATCATGTGAAAAGAGAAAAGATTGTGAAAAATTAGAAAATTAAAAGTATCACAAGATTTTATTTTATTAAAAAATAATAAGATATTATATTATTAAAAATAAATAAAATATTATTTATTAAAAAATACGAAAGCTGAACCTAGAGGTTTAGATGTCAGGCATGCTAAAACATGCTTATGGTCTGTTTTCTAATCAAGCCTTTTAATGGATTTAAGTTTGTGTTATATTTAAAATGGGTTAGGTCAAGTCTTGTAAATCACTGAAAAGCTATATGACCTATTTAAAAAAAAAAAAAAAAAAAAGAAGAAGCTATATGACCTATTTACATCCTGAATAACACGGGATTCCATAAATATAAGTAAAAGTTTAAAGGGGTTTGTCTATCTGTCACCAACTAAAGCGCAGTTCCCCCATCAAACATTATTCTGACAAAATTAGACAGCTTTCAAATGGATCTTATCCAATTATCCATCCAGTCTGAGATACTTTTTTTCTTTCCCTTTCCTTTATTTGCTGTTATCTTGTGACCTATATATATTTCAGGTTTTGAAAGCTCCACTTCATGTGGTTAAAGGCGTTTGTCAGGTGCTAGTGTAATTATTAGTACTATAAAAGAAAATAAGACAAAGGAAAAGTTACAGGATGGATATTGACAAAAACCTAATTCTAAATTGGTTTATTTTCCGTTCTTGTGACATTCATCCTCCTTTCTTAGATTAAGTCTTGGATGGTAATCTATTTATCTGTTAAAAAAAATGTTGATTGAGTTAGCTTTTGTAATATAAAATAAGGGCAAAATTATATTTACAAATTTTTTGTTTACAAACTACACTAAATATGATCGGTTATATTTCAATCAAGAGTGTATAACTGGTCATACTTAGTATAATTTGTAAAAAAAATTTGTAAACGAATCATTCTCTATAAAATAAAAGCAAACATTATATATTATTTAAACTGCTAATAAATCCCCAGAAAAAATTGACATTATTGTTTGGGATATAATATTTTTTTTTTTGGTAGTTAGTTTGGGATATAATTTTAACATCTAGTGTTAGTGTGCAACATCTTAATTTAAGCATGTCATAACGTAGGGAAGCATTTAACTTGCTTTGCACACTCCTGCACACGTCAACGCGGTCTTTAGACTGTGGGTCCGCATTGTATTTTATTTTTATAAGAAAAAAGTATTTGATAATTTATGTTCTGTTTTTTACTGTGATGATGCATGTGCACGAAGAAACTCAGAGATGAGTTGACCAGAGCGCTAATAGAGGCAAATGATGGTAATGTTAATGAAGGCGCAGAGTCATTCAATGAACTTGTGAAGGAGATGACCTCTAAACAAGACCTTAAGGCTTTTGCTTTCAAGACCAAAGCCATGGTATATAAAAGATTTTCCGTGTTTGCTTTTGCTAGTTACTCTTCATTGTGACGACTATGATGTTTTGTTCTCCTTGTCGTTATTTCTCTGTTTCCTTCTGTTGTTGGTTAACAATCAGGCGTCGTATAAGGTAACTGCATATCTCAACATACATATTGTTTGGGTCAGCGGGTACATTTCTTGAGGGAAAATCAAGAGAAGCCAGTTCAACTAAACTGATTGTTAGAAATATATTATAATTAGGGTTTCCTTATTTTGTATTAGGTCAGATTACATTAGGTTTGAGCTTAGTCTATTAGTCTGTTTATATATTGTACAGCCTTCATCAGTCAATACACACAGTATTATTTCAAATGTCCCTCTCTTCTCTCTCGTTATTTAACATGGTATCAAGAGCTTAAGGAACGTTTGAATTTTTTTTTTCCCGGTGAACCCACTGTTCATCATATTTTACAAATTTTTTTTTCCCGGAACTGTCTCGTTGTCAGTTTCCGAACGATTTTCTTCCGCTTCACGCTTCTGTACCGTCAACCACCACCGTCCAGTAGAATTTTCAGGCACGCAGTCTACCGCCGTGATCGTCTGGACAACGCGGTCACACCGGCACCGGCCGCTCCCTCAGAAGACCACCCACGCACTCTCAGCGCGTGCAAGTTTCAGCACCCTCCTCCAACCGGCGGCGCGTGGAGCCTCCGTTCCGGCCACGGCTGGTTGCGATCTTTTCGTCTTGCTGAGACGATTCTGGATCCGGTCTTGTTTTTTTGTTTCGACATCTTTTTGCGTTGACGCACAGTTCCCTCTTCTACCGGTTAGTTCTGTGATCTGTTCTTTCTGATTTTTTTTTTTTGATTATGGACCCTCCTGTCTCCAATGTTCCTGGTTCTGGGACTCCGGCTGGACAAAAGTCGAAGTCTATTATTTTTTCCAATTATATCCTTGCTCCGTTGAGTGTGGATAAATTGGATGGGTCCAACTATGACACTTTGTCTTCCGATCTGCGACTTTAGTTGGATGGGCAGAATTATACATCCCATCTCACCACTAAGGTTGAATCTGAGGCGGAAAAGGAGCGCACACGGTGGAAGATGATTGATGCTCAGTTGTGTAGTCTCATTAAAGCTACTCTTCATCCGTCTATCAAGCAGATTTTTCGACCTGCTGTTACTTGTGAAGCTATTTGGAGTCAGGCAAAAGCACTGTACACCAATGATACCCAGAGACTCTATGGTGTGTGTCAGAAATTGATGACTACCTTTGCTCCTCGGGACGTCAATTGTCCTATGACTGAATATTTGGGGAAAGCTCAGAGTCTACTTCATGATCTTAATGAACTTCTGCCTCTCACTGGTGATGTTACTAAGGAACAGGAACAACGTAATGCACTGTTTATGCTGCTCATTTTATATGGTTTGCCTGACCATTTGTCTGCCAATCGGATCAAATTTTGGGATCTGCTACAGTTCCTACACTGGATTCCGTGATGTCTACCTTGCTTAGAATTCCTTCTAAGCCCTCTACGTCATCAGCACCTCCTATGATGCCTATAACCCCAGTGGATTCTGTTGACTCTTCCGCTCTTGCTGCTCAAGGGTATGGTCGTGGACGTAGAGAAGATTCTGTTGACTCTTCCGCTCTTGCTGCTCAAGGGTATGGACGTGGGCGTCGATTCTCTAAAGAAAAGCTGTTATGCACTCATTGTCATCAGACCAATCATACTGTTGACCGCTGTTGGAAGCTTCATGAAAGGCCACCTCCACCTTCTCGGAATGCTCATGTTGCTCAGGCTTTCTCTAGTACCTCTTCTCCAGAGTTACCTTCCAGTGCACAACCTCCAACTGCTCTTCTGAACGAATTTGTGACTTGGTGGTCTGAGAAGCAAACATCAGGTCCTACTGCATCCATTGCTCCCACTGTTAATTCTGGTAATTTTTTTGCTGGCATATCTCAGTTGCACTCTATTGGCCCTTGGACTCTAGATTCTGGGGCTTTTGATCACATTGCTGGTAATAAGTCCTTATTCACTTCCCTTTGTACTACTGGTTCTTTTCTCACTATTACTATGGCCAATGGGTCTCTGGTCCAATCAAGGGGGATTGGCACGGTTCTTCTTTTACCTAATTTATCTCTGGATCATGTTCTATATGTTCCCGATTCTCCTTTTAACTTACTTTCTGTTAGTTGGTTGACCAAATCCATTGACTGTATTGTTTCTTTTACTAAAACCTCTGTCATCTTTCAGGATCAAAGTTCGGGGAAGGAGATTATCAAAGGATGTGAGTCTCAGGGCCTCTATCAACTAGTTCCCTCTTCTTCAGCCTGCTCCACTGTGGATTCTCCTCTTACTATCCATGCTCGTCTGGGCCATCCTAGTCTTGCAAAGCTTCAGAAGATGGTTCCCCATTTATCGTCTCTTTCTACTTTAAATTGTGAGTCAAGTTAGTTTGGGAAACATACTCGTAGTACGTTTCCGAGTCGTCTTAGTCATCAAGCTGTTTCTCCTTTTTCTGTGGTCCACTCTAATGTTTGGGGACCAAGTCGTCATTCTTCTACTTTGGGTTTTAAGTACTTTGTTACTTTTATTGATGATTATTCCAGATGTACTTGGTTACTTTTAATGAAAAAGCGGTCTGAGTTGTTTTCTATTTTTCAGTTATTTTATAATGAAATAAAAACTCAATTTGGTATTCCTATTCGTAATTTTCGTAGTGATAATGCATGTGAGTACTTATCTCATCAATTTCAACAATTCTTTTCATCTCATGGCATTCTTCATCAAACATCTTGCCCTCATACACCTCAACAAAATGGTGTAGCCGAGCGCAAGAATCTCCATCTGGTTGAAACCACTCGTGCCTTGTTAATTGATGGTAATGTTCCATACACATTATGGGGTGATGCTATACTTACTGCATGCTATCTCATTAATCGCATGCCATCATCTGTTCTCAATCATAAGGTACCTCACTCTATTTTATTTCCCCATCAAATTTTATATCTTTTAACTCCACATGTGTTTGGTTCTACGTGTTTTGTTCATCATCTTGGTCCAGGTTTGGATAAATTAGCTCCCAAGTCTCATAAATGTGTTTTTTTGGGTTATCCTCGGTCTCAGAAGGGTTACCGTTGCTACTCTCCCACTTTACGTCGATACTTTATCTCGGCGGATGTCTCCTTTTTTGAATCAGTTCCCTTTTTTGGATCCTCTACTACTCCTGTGGATACTGATTCTGTACAGTCGTCCTTCCCAGGTGACCTTCTTTACCTTCCGTCTTTACCCGTCCATGTTTCTGACTCTCCTTCTATCACCTCTTCTGCTGATGAGATCGAGCATAGTTCGTCAGATGTATCTGTAGACTCACATTCAACTGCATCTCCTCCAACGGCTTCGGTCCCACCTTCGGATAGTGACCTTCCCATTGCTCTTCGTAAGGGTACTCGTGATACTCGTCCTCCGGCCAGGTATACAGTCAATATTAGTTATCATCGTCTTTCTCCATCATATTTTGCTTGCCTTTCCTCTTTGTCCTCTGTATCTGTTCTTAAGACCACAGGTGATGCACTTTCACATTCGGGATGGACACAAGCTATGATTGATGAAATGAGTGCTCTTCATCATAATGACACATGGGACCTGGTGCCTCTTCCTTTTGGAAAATCTGTGGTTGGTTGCAGATGGATTTATGCTGTTAAGGTTGGACCTGATGGTCAAGTGGATCGTCTTAAAGCTCGCTTGGTGGCGAAGGGTTTCACTAAGGTCTTTGGCTTGGATTTTATTGATACTTTTTCTCCTGTGGCGAAAATGTCTACTGTTCGCCTTTTTATTGCCATGGCTGCTATTAGCCATTGGCCTCTCTACCAACTGGATATCAAGAATGCTTTTCTTCATGGTGATCTTGAGGAAGAAATTTATATGGAGCAACCTCCTGGATTTGTTGTTCAGGGGGAGTCAGGTCTTGTTTGTCGTCTTCGTAAGTCTCTCTATGGCCTCAAACAATCTCCAAGAGCTTGGTTTGGTAAATTTAGCAGTGTTGTTCAACAATTTGGCATGACTCGGAGTGTAGCTGATCATTCTCTCTGTTATCGTCATTCTGCTTCTGGATCTATTTATCTGGTGGTATATGTGGATGATATTGTCATCACAGGCAGTGATCAGCATAGGATCACTCGATTGAAACAACACTTATGTCATCATTTTCAGACTAAGGATCTTGGGAAACCTCGATACTTCATAGGAATCGAGGTGGCCCAATTTAAAGCTGGTGTTGTGATATCTCAGAGGAAATATGCTCTGGATATTCTTGAAGAAACTGCTCTGTTAAATTCAAAGTCTGTTGATACTCCTATGGATCCAAGTATCAAGCTTCTACCAAATCAGGGAGAGCCCTTTTCAGATCCTGAGCAGTATAGAAGATTGGTTGGAAAATTGAACTACTTCACAGTCACTCGGCCTGATATTTCCTTTGCAGTTAGTGTTGTCAGTCAATTTCTCAATTCTCTATGTTAAGAACATTGGAATGCAGTCATTCGTATTCTTAAGTATATCAAGGCATCACCAGGGAAAAGCTTTGAATATGAAGATAAAGGTCATGATAAAGTGGTTGGATACTGTGATGCTGATTGGGCTGGTTGTCCAACTGATAGGAGATCTACTTTTGGGTATTGTTTCTTTGTTGGAGGCAACTTGATTTCCTGGAAAAGTAAGAAACAAAGCGTAGTTGCCAGATCAAGTGCTGAAGCAGAATACCGCTCCATGGCGACTACTACTTGCGAGCTCATCTGGCTTAAATAGCTTCTCAGAGAACTTAAGTTTGGAGACATTGGACAAGCAACTCTCATTTGTGATAATCAAGCAGCTCTAAGCATTTCATCAAATCCAGTGTTTCATGAAAGAACCAAGCATATAGAAATAGATTGCCACTTTGTTCGAGAAAAGGTTTTTGCTGGTGAAATTAAAACTAGCTTTGTACCCTCTAATGAGCAATTAGCAGATGTGTTTACAAAATCTTTGAGGGGCCCTCGAATAGAGTTTATATGTAACAAGCTTGGTGCATATGACCTATACGCTCCAGCTTGAGGGAGAGTGTTGTAATTAGGGTTTCCTTATTTTGTAATTAGGGTTTTCTTATTTTGTATTAGGTCAGATTATATTAGGTTTGGACTTAGCTCATTAGTCTGTTTATATATTGTACGACCTTCATCGGTCAAAACACACATTATTATTTCAAATGTTCCTCTCTTTTCTCTCTCATTATTTAACACTTATAAGCATGCTGTAGTCGTTCACCAAAATACAGACGCTCGAACAAAACTTAAGAAGGGCAATTGGTATAACTTACCTTACACTACTGAAATTTGTGTGCCACACAATATTCTGATTGGTTGTCTATAGAGAACATAGTACTGACCGGGAATGTGGAATGAAAAGTTAGCGTAACCTGAAATTTAATGAGTTGAATTGAAGCTTGAAGGATTGATTATTCGTATTCGAGTCTAATCTCTATATTTCATGGCAGTTGCTCAAATGCTCTAAAAATTGTCCATGGTAAAAATTAGGATAAAATGCAAGAAATCCCTTTCAACTATAGGTCAATTTCAGAAAAACTACGGTTTAAAACCCAACAACTCCACTTCTTCAACTTACTAAACCGTGCATACTGACTTTCTACTGGGCTTTTCTGCACATGCACTGGGGTTGATTTTACACTACCTTGAACGATGTGGTAAGTTTAGGGAGTTGTTGAGTTTTGAATCACAGGGAGTTTTCTCAAAATAACCTATAGTTGGAGTGGTTTCTTTGCGAGCCTAAAAAGTATAATTGTATATGCATTCCTTTGATTTTATCAATTCTAGAATAAGCATTCTGAGGAATATGGCTGAAGGTATCTTCATGATCAAGGTCTATCTGTGTAAGTGGGTTGCTTCATTGAATTGTTTGCCAATGAAGCATAGGTTCTTGTCAGCTACATATACTCTATTGAACAAATAGAGTTTGTGAAGTTTTAGTCCTCTGACAAAACATGCGATTTCTTCTGTTCATATTCAGCTATCACAGATGGAACGAAAGGTACAATCAGCAAGACAGCAGGAGTCAGTTTATTGGCATCTAGCGTCACATGGTGTTCCCAAAAGTCTACATTGTCTTTGTCTAAAGTTGGCTGAAGAATATGCTGTAAATGCCATGGCCCGATCTCGTCTTCCTCCTCCTGAATTTGTGTCTCGCCTTGTTGACCCTACGTTTCACCACCTAGTTCTCCTAACTGACAATGTCCTTGCTGCCTCTGTTGTTGTAACCTCCACAGTTGAAAATTCAGTCGATCCTGAAAAAATAGTTTTCCACATTGTTACTGACAAAAAAACTTATGCTCCAATGCATACTTGGTTTGCCTCCAATTCTATTAAATCAGCAATTGTGGAAGTTAGGGGATTACATCAATATGACTGGTCTGAAGAAGTGAATGCTGGTGTTAAAGAGATGCTGGAAACTAATCACTTAATTTGGAAGCACTACTGTAATAAGGAGAAGGAACTCGACTATAGTCAAGAGCATAACAGATGTTTTGAGGCTTTAAGGCCCAGCAGCTTTTCCTTGATGAATCAACTCCGCATTTATTTGCCTGAGGTAATCAGTTATTTTTGGTAGCCTTCTGATTGAGTAATAACTAAGGAAAAGTTCATAAATCCCCTTGTGGTTACTCTTTTATCACTTACACCCCTATGTTTTTTTTTCTTATCAATTACCTTCCTGTGATTTTTTTCCATCCAAGTCCATTTTGAATACCATTAGTAATTGAGCTAACTTGCCTATTTTACCCTTATTTTATGTTACTAGGTTACTCATGTAACAATAGAACTTCTCTATGTAAGTTCATGATGCAGTGTGTATGTTTGATTTCCTCCCTCATTGCCAACAAACCAATGAATAAGTTAAGAGTTGGTCTTTTAGAAACTGTCAACTCCATACAACCATCGAACATTGCTTCCCCTTCATTCCATATCAAATCAGAGATTCCTTACTATTAAAAACTGCACATAACTGCCTCTAAGGCGTAAGAGAAATAATTTAGAAGAGTCATTAAACCCAAATCCAGAGAAATAAAATAACATAATAATGACAAGACGCATATTTTGATCCCTCTAAGGCATAGTTTGAGTCTTATGTCTATCATTTGGTATCACGCATATGATATCTCTACTTTGTGTTTTCGTTTTTGTTATGTTTCATAAAAGGATTTTGATTTCAAGGCAATGGTTAATTTCATTTTATTTTTATGAAAATTAAAGTTAGAAATCATAAGGACATAAGATTTCAAGCATTTTTGTAATTTGAGTCATCAATTTTGATGTAAAATTGACTTAAAAACCCCGGATTTCAATTTACTTTCCAAACAGGTTCAATTTGGGTTGTTTGACTCAGAAGTTGAAGACAACTCAAATGATAAAATAACATTGTTATGAACTACGGGTATAATGGGCAAGTTAGCTCAATTATTAACGGTGTTAAATATGGACTTGGATGGAAAAAAATCATATGGGGTAATTGATAAGAAAAAAAAAACATAGGGGTGTAAGTGATAAAAGAGTAAATCACAGAGGATTTATGAACTTTTCCCTAATAACTAATAGCAACTTTGAATGCTTGGTGATGATTGTTTCATCATCTGACTTTTATGGACCACAACAGCTGTTTCCAGATCTCAAAAAAATAGTATTCTTGGATGATGATGTTGTAGTACAACATGACATATCTTCTTTGTGGGAACTAGATCTTAATGGCAAAATCAGTGGTTCAGTATTCGAGACATGGTGCAGAGACCGCTGCTGCCCTGGAAGTAAATACATGAACTACCTGAACTTTTCACATCCTCTCATATCAGCAAACTTTGACGGTGATCAGTGTGCATGGGTCTATGGCATGAATATATTTGATCTTGAAGCTTGGAGGAGAACAAATGTCACTGAGACCTACCATCAATGGTTGAAACTTGTAAGTGTATGTTGATGTTCTGTGCTTAATGAAGTTAACTACTAATTCTGCTATAAAATGCATTTTGGTGAGTTTCCATATGCATCAAGATTAAACTTGCTACACTGTTTAAATTCTCATTTTTCCTTCATTCAAAGGGTTTCTCGTTCTTGATGAAAAAACATGATTGATTTGAATTGTTCATACAATGTTTAAGCATTTTATACCATGTAAAATAATATTTACTTGGTCTCAAGCTATGATTCTGAATACCTGTCTAACATAGCTTAGAACTGCTTTATGTTTTTGAAGCCATACAGTAGAGATAATAATTTGTTCAAATCTTCTTAACTTGTATACTGTGTCATATGTCCAAAATTGCATGGTATATTTAATTATTTATTTTAACATGGTACTGTTTTCTTATTGTCATCTTAATATTAACTGTATATAATTATCTGATTTAACAGAACCTCAAGTCTGGGACGGCGTTGTGGAATCCAGGAGTGTTTCCACCTGCCTTAATTGCATTTGAGGGTCAAGTGCATCCTATAGATTCATCAATGCTTGTGACTAATTTAGGTTATCGCTATCAATCAGAAGAAATTAGCAAAGAGAGATTGGAAGCTGCGGCTGTTATTCATTTCAGTGGCCCTGCTAAGCCATGGCTTGAAATTGGTTTCCCTGAGTTTAGAAGTTTATGGAGTAGATACGTAAATTTCTCTGATAAGTTTATTAGGAGATGTAGAATTACAGGGTAAACAAACAAAGTTCTTCCACCTCCAATATTTATTGAGATTGAACAAGTGATACCGTATGGGATTAGAGGGAAGAAGGTTCTACCTTCAGTCTCTGACTCATACCCTCTGCACAGTATGATATCGATTACGTCATGTCCATATAAATAGTAAATAGTCATATGAAGCTACCACGCAATACCCTATTAGAAGCAGCATCTGCAGTTAAGAAAGATGTTTGCATCATGATCTAGCTGTGACAAAACTGTAAATTTCTTTATCAAAAAGGAGAAAATGGTCTGCTTGATTTGAAATTTCAGCTAGACGGTTCTCAAGTCTGATTACATGAAACTCTCGATAATCACTTACCATGCAGCTTGGGAGTTCATCTCTTTGGTCTTGTAAGTGCTTATTCTAGGAGCCAGTCATATGAGTTTGTGCTTCACTTTTGCTTTATATCTCTACTCATTTGAAAAACGATCTCATGCTGTTCTCCCTCTTATTTTGGTTCAGGATTGGCTCACTAAAGAATAATATCTTTGTTAGCTCTTTAATTGTCTGCTGTAACATCTGCGATTTGATATGGTCTATGGCATTTATTCTCGGGCTGTTGATCAGAATGAATGAAATGGATCTGAAATATTATCATGGGGAAGGAAGTGTTGACAACTACGTTGCGTAAATAACCCAACAAGATTTATTGATTTGTGGACCCCTTTAATTCTGTTTTCGAAATATGACTGCTCAGGAAGCATTGCAACATGATGAAACCAAATAAATTGAACACTGATTTTATTAACAATAACCGACAGATATATACATTACAAAAATAACCGACAGATATGTACATTACAAATTGGAAATCCAGAATGGAAATGACACTAATATGGCTGACACGGCCCGGAAAATACACTCAACCAAGTGACGAAGGACTCCTCAGTACTTCTCTCCCTTCCTATACCTCACTGTAATGAAATTATGCCTCCCCCTCCCCCCATTACACACGTTTCCCACTTTATACCAGCTTCCCTCATTCTCTCTCCTATAACTACCTAATCATTCCATATCTCATATTCTGTTATGCTTCGCTCTCCAATTTTGATAGCTGCTCTTCGTAATTTGTCCTTCTTTAAGTGATGATTCCAATCTTTTAATGTTCTTCACACTGTATATTTTCACTTGGTTTTAGTTGAAGGATCATTAAACATATTTGCCGAAGCAAGAATGAAAGTTCTAAAGCAATGAAATTGAGTATTCCATTGAACAGACCAGATTGAACAGCAACGAAGAATGAATACTCTTCAGGAGTTGTTGCTACGGAAATCAAGAGAAAGAAGATCAAATTGAACTATCTAATGTTATAGTTTCCTTTGCTACAGTTCGAAGTCTCATAGAGATGAAGGAAAAAAAATTCTAGAAAGACAAAATCTAATCCTATAAAGACTAGAAGAACTTATTGATTTTTAAAATTAATTTGTAGACGTAGCTAATGAAAGAACAGTATTTTGGAGATCCTCACAAATAAGGATAAGTAAGCTGTTGTTTGGACGTATGAAATGAGCTAGCTTAGGCTATGAAGAAGACCCAGATTATAAAGCGAAACCCAGAATGCTATATTTTGATGTACACATTGCTGACCATTCCAAAAGTTTTCAGAAGTTTCTTAAATGTCTTTTATGCCTTAACATTTAACAACATTCAAAAATATTTAAATTGATAAGAAACATAACTAGACATTTTAAAGATGTCTTCATTACATAAAAGGACAAGGAATAAAATATGCTTTATTATGCTACCTAGATGTTGCATCATTCAAAATATCATATTTTTCCATATATGCCCAACTGTTACAAAGGAAAGAGAAGAGAGACGAGTAGAATAGAGAAAAAGAACAAAGAGAACAATAAAAGATCAATGCCTTGTGTGCTCATAGAGGAGAATCATTTTGCCAATACCCTAAACTTGTTGGAGAGAAAACTAATACTCTGTCCATTAAGCTTATAATTATGATATCCATCTTTGTATTTGAGCGTTATTCCTTGTAGCATTGTAAAGTTCCTATCTGTCTGTTGGTTCTAGCTTATAGAGGCTAATGTTGAAGAAAACTACTTGGTCTCTAGTTTGGATAGGTTAGTAAGGGAGAATTTTGGAATGAGAAAAGTGTTTGTACTTTTAAATTACACAAATTTCACTCTCACAAAGAAGTGGGACCCACATTAATTTTTTTTTTTTCATCTTTCTCCTCCATGATCTATCTCTTTCTCTCACTTCAAATGATACAATTTTACATCCTTTAAATGACATATACTTTTTCCTTTTGGGATACAAGAAAACTACATATAAGGCTAGAGAGGTTCAAAGAACATTTGGGTTTGATAGTGAAAAATCTCACCTTAGGTAGACTCTCCTTCAATTTGGATATCGATTCAGTATAAAATCTATTGTGCCAACTCTCTCTCTCTCTTTATATTATTTATCGATTAATTGATTATTCAAGTAATCCGATTCGATACAGTAGGATTACATGAATCGCAAAACTCTCCCTAGTAAGTTTTAACATAGTTGCATTCCTAGATACTAAAACTCAAGACAACCAATTAAGCTAAATAAACCCTTCTCGGTTGATACACGTATTTAGTGGTATTGTGCCAACTCTCTCTAATCCTCATCTTTTACTTTTTCATTGTTGTTTCAATTTTCTAGTTTATGATGAGTACATAATATTATAAGCCAGAGAAATCATTTTCATAAGCTACCTCATCTCTACTCAACATTACGTGCATATTTGTTTTTGTAGAAACTGTCATATAGGTTGGACTTGATTCAACCCATTCTCAAGTCCTTTTGTACTACTAAAAGCATTAAATAGTTCAATAGTGGAAATTCAACAACGTTCTGGAACAACGTTAAAAAAATAAATAAGTTCTTTTTGATAGATGACTTATAGGAATAAGTGAAAGTAACAAAGCTTATAATCAAATTAATAATAAGATATAATTTTCCTTGAAAGCTTTTTGAATCCAGAGTTATCTAATACGAACATGCAATCTATAGGAATGAAAATGATGTAGTTTGTGTATGATGTGTAGAAACCCCATTATTTAAATTTTACCACTATCAACTTCATCTTTGTAAAGAACCAATTCAACTAAAAAGTTTAAACTATTGGGTGATGATCTTTTTAATAGTTTATATTATACTCTAACACGCCCCTTTAAACGAGATCTCACTGGGCTAGAAAGGTGGACAATGCACAGACCCACCTACTTGTGCTAAGAAAATTTCACAAGAGAAAGTGAGGGTGGAGAGGATCGAACTCGGAACACGAGGCTCTGATACCACGTAAAGAACCAATTCAACCAAAAAGTTTAAGCTATTGGGTGAGGGCCTTTTTAATAGTTTATATTATACTCTAACAATCATCAAACACACATTTTATAGCAGTAGGCCTAAAATAACAGACAAAAACACAAGACGTGAGATTTAGAAACTAGTTCTTAATTATTAAAAGATACATAAACAATACTGTATGAAGTATGGGTGCAAGATGCTGGTTCTTTTCTAGATCACAGTTGCAAAAACTTTAGTAAAGTAAATTTTGAAGGCTGGCATGTATGAGTTTTCAACTATATATATATATATAGGCACTACATGCAACTATTCAAATAGATAAAACGATATGAAAGCTGTGGCAGAACTTCCAGTGACTTTTCCATCATATCAGCTGCATTCAAAGGTAAAAAAAGAAAAGGGAAGTGAGAAGCATGTATGTTGCTATGGAAATCATCAAACAAAGTCTTCAACTATAAAGTAACAACCTCTCATCTACAAAAAAGAGAGAGTAACAACCTCTCAAAACCAGCAATAAACTGACCAAAAACCCTTTCCCTTTCCCTTTTTCTAATTTTCTTTGAATATTAATTAATTAGCACAACTTACTGATTATCTTGTTTGAAGCCTTTGAGAAGGGTTAACATATTCCTGAGCATGCAGGAATTTGTTTGATGCTTAGCCCTTAAAGCAACATATATATAATTATATTAATGCATGGTAGCTTATTAAAAGACTAAATTACAATATTGAAAGTGTTGGTTGCAATTTATATTGTTGGAAGTAAAAGCATGTCTTTTGCACTGGTTATTGCCCCCCTTGTTTTTGTCTTCATGGTCCTGTAAGGACCTTCAATAACTTGCCAATAGTTAATACTAGAAGGTACATATGAACGCTTACACAAGTTGGAGAGCAGTTTGGTCTTGACGTGAATATTCATGATCAGATCCTAAGAGATTTACTGGAAAGAAATTCCGGTCATATGATTGTGATGGTAAGGACTCGCACAAAGTTCCTGGCATCAAATCTTGTTGCTGTTGTTCAGCTCTCTCATGTTCAGCTATCTGCAGCATTCAACAATTGTTTTTATCATTCATTTCACTCAACTATATAGCTAATGATACCATTCTTTGGTGTGTCCTTTTATGTGTGTCAAGAGGATGGGATAGACCTTAGCTCGCAGATAATTATTATGGTTTTGCAGCTCAATTTCCTGCACAATTTCAATAAATTTACATATGTCATAATAGGTTTACCAATGTATATAAAATTAAGAAGAATTTATTGACCCTTTAGAGACAAGTAAAGTGGTAACTAATAATGTTTACCACAAAAAAAAAAAAAGTGGTAACTAATAACACCAAAGGAGATGAAGAGTACCCGCTTTTGCATGAACTCGACATCAGCAAACAACGTTTCATGCTGGAAATTTTTGAGGGTATCAGTCCAAAGGAATGAAGATATACTAACAAGAAGGAAAATAATGTATATATTTTTTTTGGTCAAAAAATAATGTAATATTTTCTATGTAATAGGCCAGACAATAAAATTTGAAAATACTAACTCAAATAATTCTTCCATCTAGTTTTTGCCAACTTTTTCACAACTATAACAACTTACATTTGGCTTTGTGTTAGAAACCTTGAGAATGAGGATTTCATTAATCCCCACATGTATTATTGGATCTATACTCAGCATGCACAGATATCAAAATGCCTCAAATAATTGTCATGCTGAGCTTATGATACCTTTCTAGATCTAACTCTGCTTAAACCTTTCTCCAATCTACCCTCAAGGTTCTTTAGTTCCTTGATACTAAGAGAGCTTATAGCTTCACCAAGGATGTGCCTGGAAAGCAAAATTCATTGATGAGTTTATTCAATGGAGAAACTCTTTTAAAGTTATATATCAAAGAAGAAACTGACCTGTTTAGATTCTGAATATCTCGAATCTGTCTTCTCAGTTTGGATGATTCTTGCTGGTAAAACTGATATTGGTAACTAATGTTAGTGTGTAAGAAAAGCTTGTGGAGGAGACTTACAGTATACTAAATTATTGACACTTGTTCCATACAGCCATGAATAATTGAATCACCCTAACCTCAGCTTTCCTATCTTCAAAATGGAAATTCCATGTTTTTTATATGATGATGGCAGGCATCTAATGGATGTGCTAAACTGTATCTAACTTTAAATATTTAATAAGATACATATAAAACAGTTAAATTTATGACAAATTGAAGCATAGTCCCTCACATAACCCATCACAAGATTGAATATGAAAATCCCAAGCGATATTTGATTGAATCCTTGGATGGATTCTAGATACATTAGTTGGACTATTTTATATATATGTGCTGGACTTTTTTGATTTTCAGGGATTATGTGCAAAGGTGGGATTTCATCCTTAGATTGTCCATTTTTCAACGGAAATATTGTCTGTGTGACTCTATCCAGGTTGGTATGTGTTATCATGCCCGGATAGTCACTAACCATTGTTTATGGTTATGGGTTAATAAGTAAGACTGTTGTGCAAGTATAGGATGGTACCATTAAATTCATTATGGAAAAGATATATGCAACGTAATACATCAGGAAAAAGTTAATTCACAAAGTTACATAGGTTAACAATGAAACTATGACATAAGTTTATGCAGCGCTTTTGTATCATTTGCATGTTAACTAACCAGCTCGACACGGAGGCGTTACAATAGGCTATTGATAATGGGATATTATATTAGGATTTATGAATCGATAATTTAGAGAGGTAACATGTGTAATTAGTTGATAAATAAATACAATTTTATCTTTATTATTACTATTTAAAATTTTTGAACTAATTAACTTAATGTCCCATGTATCTTTTGACATTATTATTACTATTAATATTATTATTATTATTATAATCTGTCTATTATTCACAGATAGAGTTTAGTTCTTTCCATATATATTAGAGAAGAATAAGGGATATGCATTTCGGTGATGATTCCAAAAAGTTTAGATGTAGGATTCAACACATAGGCAAGTTCCACAGAAGTTGATTCATCACACTTCAGAGATATGACAACAAAATGCTTGGCTAAAAAACACTGTAATTATGAAACGAAATGTGCAGTTGTTGTGTGCTAAATAACCATAAAAAAGAACTTTTCACCAGTTATCCTTGATATTATTTGAATAAATTAACCTGTGTATTAGCTTCGGACACAGATTCTGCGTTTGACGAAGCAGCACAGGCTTTTTTGTACCTTTCAATAGTTGCTCTAACACTGCAAACAATACAAGCAAAAGCATTTGTAAAAATAGGATTTAATTAACAAACCACCACACACACAAAAAAAAAGAAAAAGGATTTAACAAACCTAAGAGAGTACAATTTATGTTTACTGACTGAAACACGTGCCTCATTCTATATTTTCAAGAATAGAAATCGTTCGTTGAGATTGAACTCTTGAGTCAAGAGCTGAGATTGAAATATTATAGATTTAAAACATTAAAACCCAAGTGTATGCCAATTACCATAACAAATATGATTTTAGATTATAATTACAGACTATAAATGGAGCCAGAAATGGTTTTGTATTGTCTAAAACTGGCTTTTTTATGTCCTCTATCAGAATGTATAAGTCCCGGGAGATAAATAAAATTTTCATTTTCATTTAAATGCTCCAAAAATCAAACCATAGTCTTCACAGCAAGTATTGGGTGTAACCAAAGCTTCAAGCCATAAAGAGTTGCAAAATCATGATCAGGGTTATGAACTTTGAGACTGGATTGTACCACTACTGATCATTACAAGTTGTAGTTTATGGGGCTTATATAATATGTCTAAGTTAAATAAGGCTTTCATTTATAGGTAATTGGAAAATGGATATCCATATTTGTCCATCACACTTCTTTACATTAATTACATAACTTTATATCACACCAATTCTTGGATCAAAGACTTATAGATTGTAAATCCTGCATAAAACTCACTGGTCTATAAAAACATTTTGATATGAAAATAAAAATGATGCTCAATAATAATTTTTCTTGTACATAATAATAATAAAAATAAAATATTTAATTTGTATTATTTGGAGTAAAACAATATTCATATGCCACAAGCTTACTGCTCTCTCATCTCAACCTTAATTTTTTCAGGCCCTGATTGGTTGTCCCAACCAAGCTTGCACAAGATCCAACAATGTGATTGGCTCAAGTATAGTATGTATTCCTAGGTTCAGAAAACGTGTCACTTCCCCATTATACATTGTCTAATAACCATGAGAATCACTTTTTCTTACTCCTCGATTGTCACATATATACCCTTTGAACATTACAACTGTTAATATTTCGCTTCCAAAGAACTAAAAGATGTTGTGTCAGAACACTCGTGAACTCTGAAAAACTAAGAAATGCATGTCATGAAATCAGAACTTCTCATTGGATTGTACTTACTTTGTTTCTTTTCTCTCTTCTTACTGTTAAATACTTACATGTCTGAATATAAGAAAATAAACTAGCTGAAGCTGAATCTTTATGTATGAAATTTCATTCATTTAATTCTAAAGAATTTAAAACCTCTCCCTTCCTCTCTCTCTGAACTTCCTGAAGTTCAAACTTCAAATACAAACAATTATAATAGTTAATGCAACGAGTACGGAGAGGCCTTATTCATCAGGCCATAATGAAAATGCAACCTTCCTTTTTATTGAAATTTCCAAAACACATAATTGAGAGTAGGTAGAAAATTGACGTCAAGAGTAGAAGCTTTATTTCCACAAACATGAAAGCAATGAAAAAAGATAAGAGAGAGAGTGGTGCTTTGCTTTTAGCTATTCTTAGAATCTGATATCATGGTGTTACCTTTAGCAACTCGGGGTAAAAAACGAGTGATCTAGAAAGAATAACATGGGCACTATATAATTTTTTTTTTTTTGAAAAATCTGGGAAACGAGAAAGAAAATGAGCTTGACAATTTTATTATTATATAAAAAAAATGAATGAAAGAGGAAGACCCCACAGAAGAATAAACATCCCTATATATAGTATATATGCCCTACTGTCCTTGTTGAAAATCAAAGAAATCATATCTCACGTGAATAATGAATCATATTTTGTAATATTTTTATTTTAAATAGAAAACAGGATTTTATTTTATTTTACCAAAACTAAGAAATAAAAAGAATTTATGGAATAATATCTTCATTTGTATTTTATACATTAAAAACTTATCAATATGACTCGTGTTTATAACTTTTACTATATCTCCACCACACAGTGGCTTACATCTTGTTAGTATTAGTCAATCAAATCAAGACATTAGAAAAATGGCCAACCAAATGCATAATATTTCAAATCCCTATGTCAGAAATTTCTTGCGGAAACAATGAGTTATTCACATTGATAATACCCATATACGGAGTGAGAAACCCTAACAGCAGCATGCTTCCTTGACCATATAAAGGACGAAATTTATGAAAGTGGGAACGCAATTTAGACTTTTATATATGAATCTCTATACACAATTTAATTTATGAAAGAATGATGGGAAAATTCTGTTTCAACTTTAAATGAATCTGAAACTTTTGACTCCAGAAACCCTAATATTGGGTTTGGAATTTGGATCATTACCACCTTGAAAGGTGATAAATTCAAGAAATATTTAAAACAAAAAAAATATTATTTCCTTTATAAAAATGGGGATATTTAATTAGTAAATATATTCCAGATTTGAAAGGAATTGGGTGGGAGTGTGACTAGTGAAAAATCAGAAACCCTAAGTTGCAATTGGATGAGCCTGCTTGTGTTGAGTACCAAGAAAGAGTCATGATGGAAGAGAAGGGGAATAGCATGACAGCTTTATGTGGCAGACTTTTGTAGGTTTTATGGTTAACATGTGGAGGGAAAGAGAGGGGAAAAAAAGGATTGGAAAAAGCTTAACAGCATGGGAAAATATACACCAACAAGCTAAGATCTCTGACCTAAATATCTTTGTAACCCTAATTAAAGCTGCTACTCCTTTTCTTCTACTATTTATGCTACTCCTAGTATCATCTTAAAGCCTATTTCAACCTCTTACCACAGATCTGCAACCTTTCAAACGAATAACTGGGGAAGAAGAATAAAAGAGATAATTGATGCATATACTACAAAGCTCATAAAGGAAAATAATATTAACAGAAAAAACAGAAAGGAAATAAAAAAAGAAGTTTTGGGAGAAAGGAAATAGACAATTTGAACTAGAAAACAAAACCTGGTTTAACCTCATAGCAACCCTTTGTTCAAAAAAAAAAAAAAAAAGTATCAATTATGCTATCTAGATTCCAAAATTTTCTTAAGCCAATATATAGTTATATAGAGACAAGTTTGACATAATTTAAGACAACCCATTAATAAAAATAAAAAAACATAGAAACTATAAGAATCTTAAAGATTTGGAGGTTGCAAAAGAGGAGTTATGATGTATATATGTAAAACCTGTTGTTGGCATACTCATACAAGCGGCCACGGCTTGAGAAGACAACAAGAGCAACTTCAGCATCACACAAAACAGATAGTTCATAAGCTTTCTTCAGCAACCCGTTGCGGCGCTTGCAGAAGGTGACTTGTCTATTTGTAGTGTTCTCGATCCGTTTGATTTCAATTTTCCCTCTTCCCATTTTCTTCTGAGAAGATCCTTCTTGAGCTTGATTGTGAAGCTCCATAGCTAAAAGTAATTATCAAAACCAAATTAGTTAGTGTCCTTATTCAATCATGAAATAAGCAAAACTTACCAAATAAACTCAAGAGAAAGGAAAAGAAACAAAAACAAAATATGGTCTTATATATGAAAAATGGTAGAGTGTGATCTAGATTTTGGCATGATATAAGTTGGTCACAAACCATGAAAAGCGATAACAATAGACACAAGAAAATTTTTGGGTAAGAAGATGAAACAAACAAGACTTTATGTGTGTCTTGGTTATACCTCTTCAGTCTGAACTATTTGTAGTTCTTTGGTGTTATCCTAAAACTCAGGGAAAAAGGTTGCAAAATATGGAAATGGGTTGGCCTAACAAACAGGTATTTATGGACTGAAAATAGACCCTCCAACAATTACCCAACTCACACTAAGAATTTAACTTCTCTTGTTGGAGAGTTAAAGCTGAAGAGAGAGAAAGGGTGACTTAATATTCACCTTTCAAGCTCCATTAACCATCCATTTCTTCGTGTATGGGAAAAAGGAGAGGGAGATAATAAAAGGGTCTTTTTGAAAGTGACTTTGTTTATGTGGGGTTTGATTCAATTTCAATGAGAGGGACATGAACATAAAAGTTTGCACGCAAAATTCCGGAGCTTCAAATTTTAATGTCTCAGAGAGACTAAGAGTACTGCAGGGGTGAACCAAAAAGAAAAGGAACCATATTGCTCCTTGGATTTTGAGTTTTTGGCCTTTTACTTCAAAGAATCTAGTGGATATGTTTCTTGCAACTAACCCCTGCATCTCTTTATTTCGTAGTTGAAAGTTGAAAATCCTAGAGTTTCCAAAGACTCTAACCCTTTTTCTCTTGCAATATTACAATTTTGATTGCAGTGTTTTACCAGGTTTTGTGACGCATTTAATTAACTGAGTAGGGTTCCCACGTGATGTCCTGATCATAATCTTCGATACTCGTTATATATATTTTTAGCTTGCCTTTGTGATAATGGGAAAATCAGTCTGATATTTTCGGTTGCAATTGTCTAAATAAGTGTGTAAAATGAAAGTTAGGACGGCCACATACCGTAACATTGGCACCCACGTGGTCTTACCCAACTCAATTAGATTAGTTGATGAACTGATGGAAAAAATTCACATTAAAACTCTGATCATACACATTATATATCAGTTTACCCAAAAACAAACTTATGTTTAATGTACGCATGTGAATAGGAAAAGACGTTTAATTTCAAGGGTCTAACAGAAATGGATAGAGGATCAAGGTCAACAGGATGACAATCTATGTTAAACTACGGATAATCTGAAATGAACTCTCACCAATTTATTCAACCTCATCACATTCTTTTTCACGTGGAATATCCTCGTTAAACTCATAAAGTACAATGCCCTCCACAATGGCTTATCTAACTTATGAATGGGCCTTATAACAAAATTATCAAGGAAATCCGTTTTAACCGTCGAGACAATAGTGACATCATATTTGCCTCTAGATTTTCTTTTGGAAGATACATGTAACATCCCGTGTGCACCCTGTGTATTAATCTACATATGATAGTGTGTGCAACAGCTCAACTTGATTGTGAAGCTCAGCCCGAGATTCATAGGGCCATGCCAGATCCTTGGTAGAGAAGGACCTGTTGCCTACCGGCTTGCCTTGCCTCTGAACTTGTTAAGATATATAGTCCCACATTGATTGGATGGACAACTAATATGGCCTTTATAAGGCTTTGAGCACTCCCACCCCTTGAGCTAGCTTTTGGGGTGATGACCTCAAGGTTCTTTACATGGTATCAGAGCCTAACCGTCCCCCGCTTTAAAAAGTGGAATAAAAATAAAATAAAAAAAAGCACAGAAAGGTAAACCAAAAATGGGCCTGTGAAATTTCCACGCTTCTAGCCTAAAGGGCTCTTGCGTGAGGGGGCGTGTTAAGATATATAGTCCCACATTGATTGGATGGACAACTAATATGGCCTTATAAGGCTTTGAGCACTCCCACCCCTTTAGCTAGCTTTTGGGGTGATGACCTCAAGGTTCTTTACAGAACTTGGCCAACATCCACGACGTATTTCACGTGTCTCAGCTTCGCAGGTATGTAGCGGATCCTTCGCATGTGGTGCAACCGGACGATGTGGAGATTCAGGAGAACCAAAAAACTCCCGTCGGACCACTCAAGATTTTCGATCGTGGCGAGAAGCAACTGAGAAGCAAGATCATTCTGATAGTCAAAGTGCAATAGACTGGAAGGACACTGAAGAGTGTATCTGGGAGCGAGAGGACGAGCTTCTTCGGCAGTATCCCGACCTTCGAGACAGGTATGTTTCTTATTTTGAGGACAAAATCCTTAAAAAGGTGGGGTGAAGATAAGAACCTACACCGTTAATTAAGGAAATTAATTAAATAAATATGAGAATTAGGAAATAATTCCATAATTGACCCTAATAATTATGAGAAGGTTTAAATAATTATAGTAAGTGATTAAGATTGCTGAAAGTCTCTTTTCTGATGAAAAGTGCAGATACCGGTTCTGCTACTCGGTATAAATGCGTACCGATGAAGTATCCCGGAAAATTATAATAAGAGTGGTAATATTCATAGAATAATATATAGGATTAGTAAAACAAGTTTCAGGTCAAAATAATAAGAACTGGTGCCAGAACTGATACTGGCTATGGAAAAGCGCGTACCGGAAAAGTGCTGCGAAAAATAAAATAAAAATATGAAAAATATTAGAAAAATGAATAGGTTCAGAATCCTAAGTTTGGGATTAAAATGATAAGCGTAGCAATTAGCGTTAATACTGTGTGATTAAAACTAATTAGACTATAAATAGGGGTGCACAAGTTTCTAGGTCAGAAACTTGACATTCTCTGCGTGAGAATTCGCTGAGATTGAGCTGCCACCTTCTTCCTTTGGCTTTCTTGCATGAACATTCTCCCAAGTCACTTCATTTACCATGGATTCTTCTCTTTAAACCTTGTAAACACCTAGTGGAGTGTATGGGGAGGTAGAGGTTAGCTACTTTCTGAGTTTGGATTCTGTTTAGGGTGGTTTTGAGACTGAGTTGGTGAGTTCTTGTGATGAGCGCCTTGTTCTTGTCATATAAGGCTTCAAGAAACCAACTTTGAGTGTAAAGGACCCATGTTTGTTTGCATTTTCGTGGCTTGGAAAAGTCAAAATCTTTGGAGCTGTTGGTGAGCTCCAAGAGCATCCTTTGCTCTGTTTTGAACCTTGGGTAAGTGTTACCAACCAATGATCATGAGTTTTAATGAGTAAAAGTGGAGTCTTGCCATGTTTAATAAGATAACAAGTAACCAACGTGATAACTGACCTAGAAGAGTTTAAAAATGCATGCTTTAACATTTAGAAGTGTTAAAAATGGAACCTTGAAAGGATATCTTCGCGAAAATGCAAAACTACATTCTGTCGCAAAATATGCAGATATTTGTCTGGAAATATCTGGATATGGATATTCGGATATTGGGTCTGGAAATATCTGGATATCGATATCCGGATATTAGGTCTGGAAATATCTGGATATTGATATCCTGATATTGGGTCTGTTAATATCCGGATATGTGGTCTGGAAATATCCGGATATTGATATCTGGATATGTCCCTGAGAAATATCATGATATTCTGGGAAAAATCATGTTTTGAGCTATTTTACCCAAACAGAAGCGTGGGTTGGGTTTCTGGACCCTTAAATGACTGTTATGAATCTCTGCAATAACTTAATTAAGTCAAAACCAATAATATTAAGGGCTTATGGCTTTGTGAGAAGCCTAAAGACATAAAACAAAGAAGAAAATGATGTTGTTGTGTCTTGAATTATTAGATGATGAATGTTGATATGATTGTTGATCTAAAACAGATTGTGATTGAGCTTTTTGTGGGCTTTGAGCTTGTGTGGACTCTTGGCTTGGATAGTTAGCTTGCAAGGTAAGCTTTTGTGTCCTCGGTTTAGCCATTGTTGGTTCCACCATACCCCATGGGGGAATGGTTTATATGCATGATGTGTTTTCATGCTTTGATGATTGAAATGCTTTGAGCTATTATGTGTAAGAGCCTTATAATATGCATGTGTTGTTCCATCTTGACGGTAAGCCTGAGTATGTGGCGTCATACAATATGGTGGTTCTGTGGGTGGGTGCAAGTGGCGTCTTGCACTGATTGTAGGAAATAGATGTATCTCCTTCATTTCTCTGGCCAGTAGAATATCTTGACACACATGACATGGTTATCTGTTGCATTACACTGATTTTGGAACTTATATTATATACCTGCCTTTGAACTTATATTGCACATGTAAGTGAGCTTGGGGTGGAAAGATCTTTAGGACCCCTTGTCTTACTGAGATTTCTGTTTAGAGATCTCACCCCACGTTTGGGGCACCATTTTCAGGTTCAGGTAATGCGGGGTTTGAGACCTCGGGCGGCAGGAGGCTGGAGCTGAGTTAGATGTGTGCTTTTATGTTTATCTGCTGGATGCTGACATGTTATCTATGTTATTATTATGCCTTCGTTGTTGAGACTCTGTTGATTATGATGTCTTATCTGGTGAGCATGGGGATTGTCCATGTCACGTTTGATTATGTATTGTCTGTTCAGACTTGAGTTGTATAAACTATCAGGTTATTGTCCGGACTACGGGTTGTAGTCCGTGACTTTAGATACTCACTGTTATTTATATATCTAGGTATTTCAGTTAGCTGTCTTTTGCAATTTACATACAGGCAATATTTTATGAAATGAATTAGGTAATTCAACTTGGTAATGATAATGACGCCATAATTGAAAGTAAAAAGTTATTCCGCATTTTTAAATTAAGCATGGCTTAATACGATGACATGTTAACAAACCGGGTATATACGGGGTGTTACATTTTATGGTATCAGAGCACTTTATAGGGAAAAGCCTATATGTATTGCAATAACTAGGATGTTTTGTGGTGAGTCATGTCTGTGTGTTCTCTCTATTGGGTTTTGCTATGATGATGCATATGTGACCACATTGCATGGGCCTGATCAACTCACTCTTTGTGTAACTTGTGCAGAGTCATGGTACTACCTCGGAGGGACCGAGATACTAGCGAGGATAAACCTGATCCTGTCCTGGCTGCATTGGCTGAGATGCAGGCGGCTAGACTAGCCGATCAGGAGGCCACTAGATTGGCCAACCTGGCGATGATGGATGCCATTCGAGAGGCGAACTAGAAAGCCATTGAGGATGTAGTGGAGGCGAATCGACTGGCGTATATGACCATGGTACGGGTCGTATTGGAAGAGATGAGAATTGGTTGTCTTGACGGCCAACATCCTTCGCTGCCACACCTTCTATCCCAACATCAGTCTGGGAGTGGAGTTAGAGGGAAGCATCTACAGGTCAAACAACTGTGCAACAAATTCAACAGGCTTACTACTCAGGAAGGAAAATTTGCTAGATCATCTACAATTCCGAAGTGTATAGGTCGCGAGAAGGAGCATATGGGACGTTGTGCTACTGGGGAGCTGATATGCTTCAAGTATGGAAAGAGTGGCCATATAGCCAAGGATTGTTATACTACATTGGCTAGGGCTGCAGCAGTTCAGGAGGCCCCTCTTCAGATGATTCTTGCTCCACCTACGGAGGTACCTGTTGTGCCACCTACCACTGGTCGAGTTTATACGTCAGATAGTCAGTAGAGGGACATTGAGGAGGTTTGTATCACGAGTAAGGCCAAGAGGGTCAAGGTTGCTGAGACCAAGGGAACTGGTAGTTCCACTTCCTGGAGAGACAGGATGTTTGCTGGTAAGGGCAAAAGTAAGCAGTTGGCGGCTAGGCAAACGCCAAATCAGTTCAAGAGGACTATGACTCAGGGGAGTCAGCGAGACCTCCGACTGCTAGATGCACGAGATGTGGGAAGGTTCATCTAGGGCCGTGTTCTACCGACCAGACTATATATTTCCAGTGTGGCAAGAAGGGCCACCATGCTAGAGAGTGTCCATCGGCTATGGCGAGAGCTGCAGCAGTTTAGGAAGATCCACTTCAGATGGTTCTCCTTCCACTACAGCGACACCTGTTGTGCCACCTGACTCGGGGCGTGTGTACACATTGGATCGCCAGCAGTCAGACCGCGCTCCAGACCTTGTTTGAGGTACTGTTACCACTGGCGGTGTTGCTTTCAATGCTTTGTTTGATTCCGGGGCTACGCATTCCTTATTGCAACCCCGATTGCTGTGGGGCTTGAGTTGCCCATGTCTGTGCTTTCTCCACCGTTGCGGGTGACCACCGCCACCGGAGAAAAGTGTGATACCTCCACTGTTTATCGCGATGTAGTGTTTCAGTGGGATGGCCATGAGTTCTCGGTAGATCTGATAGGATTGCCAATGGTCAATTTGGAGATTATTCTGGGCATGGATTGGTTGTCCAGAAAGTTTGTGATGATTGACTGTTGTGCCAAGCGAGTGGTGATGTCTCCATGTGACTTCGTAGCCAGTTCCTTGCCTTATATATAATTACTGCAGGCTAGGAGAGCCTTGAGTGCAGGGGCATTCGAATATGTCATGTTAGAAGGTTTGGTGAGTGGGGCACGGGAGGATATCGCTGGCATTCCTGTGGTGGGGAATTCCTCGATATGTTTCTGAGGAGATTCTTTAGTTTCTACCACTGCGGGAGATAGAGTTCTCCATTGATTTATTGCTTGGTGTGGGGCCCATTTCATTAGCTCCATATCGGTTGTCGCTACCGGAGTTGGCGGAGCTGAAGAAGCTCATTGAAGATCTTTCTGCGAAAGACTTCTTTCGACCGAGCGTGTCTTTATGAGGAGCACCGGTCATGGTTGTTAAGAGGTAAGATGCCTTACGTCAGTACTTAATCATGGTGATGCTTTGTTTGAGAATGTGAATTCTCTTCAAGGAAGACTAAGTTTGTAACACTTGGACTTCGTGGCTAGGCCACACGTGATCTTGTATATGCGAGGCAGTGCATGTACAATTCGTTGTGAGTTTAGTGGTCTCAATGACTCTAGGATCTTATGTTGCTTACTGTTATGCTTCATAAGTAGTTGGCATGTTAACACCATGGGTAGTGTAAAGCATGATATAAGTACGATAAAATGTGGTAATGTATCAATGTTATTTCACCCCTTATGGATTCTCGATTTTGCAGATGTCATGGAGATTGAGGTATACTATTATATTAAGTTTGTGATTTAGTAGGTTACTGAAATTGAAAATTTTGCAGTTGTACGTGAACTAACGTACGTTACTATGTGCATGAGTATGTTAACTAATATGTATTGGTTGAAATGAACATGATTATGATTTCGTACTGCGAAAGGAATATGAATTTATTTTGAAAATAATGATTTATAAAATTGTGAGTCTAGTCGATGTTAGAGTCATGGAATAGGACCAAACTCACTCGAGTTTTGTGTGGTTTTGAGTTTGTGGGGTCAGTTCACTTCTTTTGACAAAGTGACTAGTGATCCCAGAGAATCGAATGACATTTTGTTGTCATTGAGAAGTTTTGAGATCTGATGGTGACTTCCTTGCTTGGGGGTGCACTTCTCGAGATGGAGACCGTGAGAGTCAAAAATGAGCTTATGGAGTAGATCAAAGAGGCGCAAGTGCAGAGAGAGTGCCTAGATTATGTAAAGAACCAAGACGGTGTGTCTTGGAACATGGGTGGATTGTGGACCTTTCATAAAAGGATTGTGGTTCTTTGAGGTCCTTTGACTGTTGAGGCGATGACAGAGGCTCATAAGGGCCAGTTTACTGTTCACCCTGGTGCTACAAGGATGTACCAGGACCTGAAGAGAAACTATTGGTTGTCGGGTATGAAGAGGGATATAGCGGTGTATGTGTCTAAGTGTTTGATTTGCTAGAAGGATAAGACTGAGCACCTGAGGCCGTCTGGTAAACTTCAAACTCTTGAGATTCCGGAATGGAAATGGAAGAGCATTTCCATGGACTTCGTGGTGGGATTACCGAATACTCAGGCTGGTGTTGACTCTATCTGGGGCATTGTTTACAGACTAACATAGTCTGCCCATCTTCTTCCAGTGAAGGTGAGCTTCCCTACTGAGCAGTTGGCCAGACTGTATGTTCGCGAGATTGTGAGGCTTCGCAGGGTGCTTGAGAGTATCATCAGTGATAGGGACCCGAAGTTCACATCTCGGTTCTGGGATGCGCTGCAGGAGGCTTTTGGTACGCAGTTGAAATGACGTACAACCTATCACCCTCTAACTGACGGACCATCCAGACATTGGAGGACATTTTGAGGGCTTGCACATTGGAGCAGAGTTCAGCATGGGATAGGTACCTGCCATTGGTGGAATTTTCATACAACAACAGTTTTCATGCTAGCCTGGGCATGACACCCTACGAGGCGTTGTATGGTAGGAGGTGTCGGACTCCTACCTGCTGGTATGAGGTAAGAGATAAGCAGTTGTTTGGCTTGGACTTCGTCCAAGATACTACTAAGCAGATCCAGTTGATCAGAGAAAGGCTGGAGTAAGCGCAAAATCGCCAGAAGAGTTACTACGATGTCAAGCATCAACCACTGGAGTTCAGTGAGGGTGAGCACGTGTTTGTGAGACTTTCACGTGTCACCGATGTTGGTCGGGCACTCGGAGTGAGGAAGCTGAGCCCGAGATTCATAGGGCCATGCCAGATCCTTGGTAGAGTAGGACCTGTTGCCTACCGGCTTGCCATGCCTCTGAACTTGGCCAACATGCACGGCGTGTTTAACGTGTCTCAGCTTCGTACGTATGTAGCGGATCCTTCGCACGTGGTGCAACCGGACGATGTGGAGGTTTGGGAGAACCTAAAGACTCCCGTCGGACCACTCAAGATTCTCGATCGTGGCGAGAAGCAACTGAGAAGAAAGATCATTCTGATGGTCAAAGTGTAATGGACTGGAAGGACACCTGAAGAGTGTATCTGGGAGCGAGAGGACGAGCTTCTTCGGCAGTATTCTGACCTTCGAGACAGGTATGTTTCTGATTTTGAGGACAAAATCCTTAAAAAGGTGGGGTGAATGTAAGAACCTGCACCGTTAATTAAGGAAATTAATTAAATAAATATGAGAATTAGGAAATAATTCCATAATTGACCTTAATAATTATGAGAAGGCTTAAATAATTATGGTAAGTGAATAAGATTGCTGAAAGTCGCTTTTCTGATGAAAAATGCAAATACGGGTTCTGCTACTCGGTATAAATGCGTACCGATGAAGTATCCCAGAAAATTATAATAAGAGTGGTAATATTCCTAGAAGAATATATAGGATTAGTAAAACAAGTTTCAGGTCAAAATAATAAGAACTGGTGCTAGAACTGATACTGACTATGGAAAAGCGCGTAGCGGAAAAGTGCTGCGAAAAATAAAATAAAAATATGAAAAATATTAGAAAAATGAGTAGGTTCAGAATCCTAAGTTTGGGATTAAAATGATAAGCGTAGCAATTAGCATTAATACTGTGCGATTAAAACTAATTAGCTATAAATAGGGGTGCACAAGTTTTAGGTCAGAAACATGACATTCTCTGTGTGAGAATTTGCTGAGTGTGAGCTGCCACCTTCTTCCTTTGGCTTTCTTGCATGAACACTCTCCCAAGTCACTTCATTTACCATGGATTCTTCTCTTTAAACCTTGTAAACACCCAGTGGAGTGTATGGGGATGTAGAGGTTAGCTACTTTCTGAGTTTGGGTTCTGTTTAGGGTGGTTTTGAGACTGAGTTGGTGAGTTCTTGTGATGAGCGCCTTGTTCTTGTCATATAAGGCATCAAGAAACCAACTTTGAGTGTAAAGGACCCATCTTTGTTTGCATTTTCATGGCTTGGAAAAGTCAGAATCTTTGGAGCTGTTGGTGAGCTCCAAGAGCATCATTTGCTCTGTTTTGAATCTTGGGTAAGTGTTACCAACCATTTATCATGAGTTTTAATGAGTAAACGTGGAGTCTTGCCATGTTTAATAAGATAAACAAGTAACCAACGTGATAACTGACCTAGAAGAGTTTAAAAATGCATACTTTAACATTTAGAAGTGTTAAAAATGGAACCTTGAAAAGATATCTTCGCGAAAATGCAAAACTGCATTCTGTCGTAAAATATCCGGATATTTGTCTGGAAATATCCGGATATTTGGTCTGGAAATATCTGGATATGGATATCCGGATATTGGGTCTAGAAATATCTAGATATCGATATCCGGATATTGGGTCTGGAAATATCTGGATATTGATATCCTGATATTGGGTCTGTTAATATCCGGATGTGGATATCGGGATATGTGGTCTGGAAATATCCGGATATGTCCCCGAGAAATATCATGATATTCTGGAAAAATCATGTTTTGAGCTATTTTACCCAAACAGAAGCGTGGGTTGGGTTTCTGGACCCTTAAATGATTGTTATGAACCTCTGCAATAATTTAATTAAGTCGAAACCAATAATATTATGGGCTTATGGCTTTGTGAGAAGCCTAAAGACATGAAACAAAGAAGAAAATGTTGTTGTTGTGTCTTGAATTATTATATGATGAATGTTGATATGATTGCTGATCTAAAACAGATTGTGATTGAGCTGTTTGTGGGCTTTGAGCTTGTGTGGACTCTTGGCTTGGATAGTTAGCTAGCAAGGTAAGCTTTCGTGTCCTCGGTTTAGCCATTGTTGGTTCCACCATTACCCATGGGGGAATGATTTATATGCATGATGTGTTTTCATGCTTTGATGATTGAAATGCTTTGAACTGTTATGTGTAAGGGCCTTATAATATGCATGTGTTGTTCCATCTTGACGGTAAGCCTGAGTATGTGGCGTCACATAATATAGTGGATCTGTGGGTGGGTGCAAGTGGCGTCTTGCACTTATTGTAGGAAATAGACGTATCTCCTGCATTTCTCTGGCCAGTAGAATATCTTGACACACATGACATGGTTATCTGTTGCATTACACTGATTTTGGAACTTATATTATATACCTGCCTTTGAACTTATATTGCACATGTAAGTGAGCTTGGGGTGAAAGATCTTGAGGACCCCTTGTCTTACTGAGATTTCCGTTCAGAGATCTTACCCCACGTTTGGGGCACCATTTTCAGGTTCAGGTAATGCGGGGTTTGAGACCTCGGGCGGCAGGAGGCTGGAGCTGAGTTAGATGTGTGCTTTTATGTTTATCTGCTGGATGCTGACATGTTATCTATGTTATTATTATGCCTTCGTTGTTGAGACTCTGTTGATTATGATGTCTTATCTGGTGAGCATGGGGATTGTCCATGTCACGTTTGATTATGTATTGTCTGTTCAGACTTGAGTTGTATAAACTATCAGGTTATTTTCCGGACTACGGGTTGTAGTCCGTGACTTTAGATACTCACTGTTATTTATATATCTAGTTATTTCAGTTAGCTGTCTTTTGCAATTTACATACAGGCAATATTTTATGAAATGAATTAGGTAATTCAACTTGGTAATGATAATGACGTCATAATTGAAAGTAAAAAGTTATTCCGCATTTTTAAATTAAGCATGGCTTAATACGATGACATGTTAACAAACTGGGTATATACGGGGTGTTACATTTTATGGTATCAGAGCACTTTATAGGGAAAAACCTGTATGTATTGCAATAACTAGGATGTTTTGTGGTGAGTCATGTCTGTGTGTTCTCTCTATTGGGTTTTGCTATGATGATGCATATGTTACCACATTGCGGGGTTTGAGACCTCGGGCGGTAGGAGGCCGAAGCTGAGTTAGATGTCTACTTTTATGTTTATCTGCTGGATGATGACATGTTATCTATGTTATTATTATGCCTTTGTTGTTGAGACTCTGTTGATTATGATGTCTTATCTGGTGAGCATGGGGATTGTCCATGTCACGTTTGATTATGTATTGTCTGTTCAGACTTGAGTTGTATAAACTATCAGGTTATTGTCCGGACTACGGGTTGTAGTTCTGTGACTTTAGATACTCACTGTTATTTATATATCGAGGTATTTCAGTTAGCTGTCTTTTGCAATTTACATACAGGCAATATTTTATGAAATGAATTAGGTAATTCAACTTGGTAATGATAATGACGTCATAATTGAAAGTAAAAAGTTATTCCACATTTTTTAATTAAGCGTGGATTAATACGATGAAATGTTAACAAATCGGGTATACACGGGGTGTTACAAACACACCTCAATCTCAAATAATCAAGAGCCTCGCTCAATGTCCGTATCTTGCTCTAGTCCATGCTCTTGCTCCATAAGTCCATTTGGTCTCACACTATAACCAATGAACACATTTACATCATTATCCATCATAAATTCATATATACAGTATTGTTCATCTCTATAGTACTATTCACATATACGTCACTACTCATGTATACGAAACTATTCAAAAATACGATATCTTTAATTTTTCTGAATATATTTTCATCGTTAAAATCTTCATCTAAACATTTTTCTCAACATGAGCTAAGCCTGAATCAAGCTCTAACATACTCAATCAAGC